CCAGTAAATTTCTTTATTCAACTTTAAAATAATTATAATCCACCTACATGAAAAAAAGAGTTTTTCCTGGACAGTGAACCGTGTGAGCCAGAGCCTTTTCGAGTCAAGAGTTCATGGGTACCCTCCAAGAATCGTGTACCAGCCATAGAGACATACGTTCAAGTTATCAATTCCCAAGTCACTAACCCAGACAACTTCCCCCACAGGACTCATGATAATCTCCCCAGAGAGGAGTGCCTGGCTCTCAACTCCTTGCGCTCTCGCACCGACATCATCATCAAGCCAGCAGATAAAGGTTCAGCTGTGGTCATCATGGATCGTCAGCAGTACATTAATGAGGCCCACCGCCAGTTGGATAATCGCACTAACTATACCCGCCTTGACTCTGACCCCACAGGCACTTTCTGTCAAGATATACAACAGGTACTTGACGATATGCGATCACGTGACCAGTTGTCCAAGAAGGATCACAAATTTCTTTCTCCCTGTGATTGTAGGACTGCCAGATTTTACCTTCTACCCAAGATTCACAAGGCTGGCAACCCCGGTAGACCCATCATCTCCGGTAATGACTCACCCACGGAACGCATCTCCCTGTTCATTGACAGTTTTCTCAAACCCCTTGTCCCACAGATTTCGTCATACATTCACGACACCCCAGACTTCCTCCGCAAGCTTGAAGGAATCAAGGACCAGATTCCCAGCACAGCCATCATTGGGACTTTCGACGTCTCATCTCTGTACACCAACATCCCACATGAGGAGGGTGTTCGTGCTTGCTCCTTGGCTCTGGCCAAGGCAGGACATGACTCCTCCCATCAGTGAACACTATCTACAGGTACACGGCACTGCAATGGGCACTCGCATGGCCCCCTCCATGGCTTGCCTCTTCATGGGTGACCTCGAAGAACGCATTCTTGCCTCGGCCCCATGTCGCCCTTGGATCTGGTGGAGATATATTGATGATGTTTTTTTCATCTGGACTAGTGATGAGGACAGTCTCTTGACCTTCACTAACCACATCAATTCCTTCCACAGAACCATCGAATTCACATCGGAGTTCTCGGCTCACCAAACCCACTTTCTGGATGTCACCGTCTGCAAGCAAGGCAACTCACTAACCACTGATCTGTATTCCAAACCCACAGACACCCACCAGTACCTCCACTCCTCCAGCTGTCACCCCAGGCACTGCAAAACTGGCATAGCGTTTAGCCAGGCACTGCGTTTAGCCAGGCACTCAGACTCAGAAGAATTTGTTCTAATGATTCCGATTTCTCCCGCCATACACAGATAGTGAGGAACAACTTGGTGGCCAGGGGTCACAGCTCTTGCCAAGTTCATCGTGCCATTGCCAGAGCTAAAGCTATCCCTAGAAATCTAGCTCTCACGGGAAAGGCCCCTGATGCCATGGCCAAACCCATGATTCCCTTGGTTACCACGTTTCACCCCAATCTCCCTCCCCTTCGCAAAATCACTAATGACAATCATCATATCCTCCATACTTCAGATCGCCTTGCCCGCGCCATCCCCAACGGCCCCACATTGGCTTACAGGCGTCCTCATTATCTACAGGACTTGATTGTTCGAGCTGAAGTCCCATCCTTAGATGCATCCCCTCCCACCCAGCATGGTACTTTCAAGTGCAGTTCCAGATGTGTTGTCTGCCAGATTCATATCCAGGAGTCTGACTCCTTTTCTGGCCACTCTTCTGTCACTACCCACAGAACCATTGGTAACATCACTTGTAACACCTCTAATGTCATATATCTCATTTCTTGCAGGGTCTGTGGAGTGCAGTATGTAAGTGAGACTAAGAATACGCTCAAGAAGCGTTTCTATGCCGACCAGTCAACGGTCAACACCAAGAAACTAGACACCCCTGTTGGTCATCACTTCAACCTGCATAACCACTCCATTTCTGATATGATTTTGCAGGGCATTGAATCTCTTGGCCATCGCAAGGACTCAGTTCGCCTCAGCAGAGAGAAAGTGTGGATGAATCGTCTTCGAACTATTCAACCACATGGTCTCAACATCCAACTTGGAAATGATTAATCCTTTTCTTCCTCCATTGTCTTCTGTTACAGATAATCCACCTGGTCTTCCTTGTTTGTGTATACCCATCTTCCCCCATCTTTCATCCCTTTCCACCTCCATACCCCCCCCCCCCCCCCCCCCCCCCCCCCCCCCGCATCATCCCCCTTCACTCTCACACTCTTTTGTCCATTCCCACTCCCTGTGACCTTTGATCCTTCCCCTTTCTGGTCCCTCCCCTGTTTATACCAGACCCCTTGTGGTTTGCCATCTCCCTTTGTTTCTTTGTTTCCTCATCCACCCTCCCCTGCATCTTTCCACACCTTTCCCACCTAATCCTCCTTTTGTGTTTCTTCTTTCAGCCCTGCATGTTTGTGTGCACCCCCATGTTAATATATGTACCTCTGTCCTTTCTGTTTTAGCCTCTGAAGAAGAACTTGCTAAGTTCGCAACGTCAGGCCACATTAATTTTTAGATTTATATAATCCACCTAGTCAGTTTTCCTTTGTGTTTTTTTTTAAATGACTAAAATAAGAGGCTTCAAAGTTGGACTTAAATCGTACATTGCCCACAATAATTACAGCTGCTATATATAGGTGCAATGTGATGGCCTAGCGGTTAAGAACACCGGACTCACGTTCTGGTGTTTCAGAGGCAACAGTGACGTGGGTTCGAGCCCGCCAGCGGACACTTGTGCTCTTAAGCAAGGCACTTAACCATTATTGCTTTGTCATTCGGATGGGACGTTAAGCAGTAGGTCCCGTGTGTTGTATAAATGCACGTAAAAGAACCCAGTAAACACTTATCGCTAAGGCGAGGCGTCATAAATAAATTAACCATTCGAATGCGTGCGCACGCTAGGAACGGGGCCTTTTGTTACATCTACCTCCCGTTCGCACGCGTGCTCACGGCATCCCGTTCCGAACGCGTTCTTATACAACAAAAGGCCAGTCACGGTCTGTGCACACACGAAGAGCTCATCGGCACTAAAAAGTATCCGACAAACTTTCTCGTCGCTACAGGCTAGCCCGTACAGTACAGGGGGGACGTATAAAAATACGGGCACCTTGAACGGGGAAAGCAGTCCTTTGCAAACTTTACTATCAGTATGTAAAAACCTTGAATATTCGATTTATAATTCGCTGATCGTGTGTACAAGGCCAGTTTATACATCAGTCAGCAAACTTCTTACAATGTTTAAACTTGTTTTTGTGAACATTATATGCAGTACCGTACCTGCTAATTTACATTTCCGTGCTTGTACCCCCCAAAAAAAGAAGAATACTCGCACTTCGTTTTACATAAAATAAGTGTTAAACGTCTCAATTATTTTTTGGGTTGGATACCATCTAGTGTAGTATGTCTGGTTTTCTCAATTTGTATTTTAAAACGACTTTATCTTCTTCGTCTGTTTTCATTTCTGAACTGCAAACGCGTTTTTCAGTAGATTCCGTGGTAAAATTTAACGAATTACGCCCAGGTTTCTGGCTTTTAAATTGCCCAGGAATATCTTAAAAGGTCAGGCATGGTTGTCTCTTGTTGAAGTCTCAGTAATTCCTGCCACCAACTGATCATCGTCGTGCAAGGTGCGAGGTTCATGCGCTGCACCGTCCTCCCGCGTGCGAACGGGCCCCCTGCTGTACGTCATGTAACCCCTCTCATGCCTCTTGCATTTACATGCTATGTGGTATGCAATGCTAGCCCGGGGGCTGACTGTTTATAAAACATGGGAATTGCGTGCTCAGGAGGAAGTCCCAAGTCGTGCAAAACGGCTGTTTCATGTATCATTTTCTTGAAATGTTTCGCTGCGTGGCCTTTGTACGTCAAAAAAAATTAAAATAATATCAAACAAAACTGAAATCTAATACTAATAAGTAATAGACCCTCACAATTATTTAACTGCACTGTGTATAGGCCTACATATACATGTACATGATTGTGTTCGCCGGCGTGCTGACAGGCCGCCATGCATATACACGGGCATGTACATGTACATTGTACTCGCAATCGCGCATGGCCATGCAGTAGTGTAGCATGGTCAGTACAAAATGGCATGGTTCCCACCGGCCGTACCGCCGTATAATGATAATGACAGAAGGTGCATGCATAGTACGTCGGAACTTCGGCAGCATCAACATGTCACCAACAGCATTGAAAACAATCAGAACTTTTTTTCCAGAAAGACATTTTCCGAAGTCGCGAATATATATTGAGAATTAAATGCTTGTGTTTGTAGCGGACCAACCTCGACAGAGCACGCAGGGGGCTTGGGTGGACCATGGGTGGACTATGAGTGGAAAGTACTGTGCATTTTACGCACGCCGACCACATTGTTATTCGAATCACGCTGGTGTTTCACTTTGCACAAATCATATCAAACTCCTCATACCTGCTCGTGCTGTCTAAACTCTGAAATGTTTTTTTTATTTAATGCTTGCCCCGATATCGGGTTTTCAAATTCCAAATCTGATTTAAATTCCAAACCAAAACGGATTTTTTTTCTGTACAAGTATATACACATAGTTGTTCTTCGCATCTTTGTTGTGCTGCTCCCGTTCTCGCACGCAAAGGAACGGTTGATTAACATAACAATACCCCCTCAGTGAATCTTGCCCAAGCACGATCTACGGAACGCGTTCTAAAAGCCGTTCGGCACGGGAAGGAACGGGGGCCGTTCAGAACGGGAAGGAACGTCTGCGCACGCGTGCGAACGGTTAATTTATTTATGACGCCTCACCTAAGAGAAGGGGTTTGCCCTGGTATTTCTGGCCTCCTGTATAAACTCCCACGTGGAGTATTTAGGAGAAAAACCAACCAAGAACCAAGAACCAATGGCAGCAATGTTTAGCAGCGACAACAGCAGCAGCAGAAACATGCCAGAATGAAACAAAATAGCAAAAAGAAACATTTAGTAATGTTTAGTAAGTAAACAGCAGTGGAAAAAATACACAGTTTGTACTTACCGATTTGTTCCAAAGAATCCATGCCAAACGGAATCATCAGCGGTTTTCCATGGTCAAAATTTAACATTTTGGAGCTGCAACAATAAATACATGTAAATAGGTGATATAGTTTTGATGGTTAAGTGTAGCTGCAGGCAGTTGTGTCAATCGGGCAGCCAATGGTAAGCATCTCACACTGTTGGTATGCTTCAGACAGGATCAAGTCCCACGGGAACAGCTATATACCAACGTAATGGGAGTCGGCAAAAAAAAAATCTCCTAACAAAGGAAACTCCAATACACATATTCTTCACCCCATTGGTGGAATTCAAAGTGAGATAACTCCAATAATAGGCCTAGCCAGTGTTTGAGAAAAGTCTGTTTAGTGCAAAAAACAAAACAAACCTAGAGGTTCGCGTTTGTTGTTACAAACGCAGAGTGGTCAGGCAGGTTATTTGTTCATTAAACACTACAGAGTTGAGTTATGAATAAATTTATGTAAGAACAAAGGATCACAAAATTCAATCCTTTCCAGAACAATCAATTATTTGGTTTAAAAAAAATGCATCTTTAACGGTGTGATAAATTTTAGTAACATTCTATGTAGGCCTACACATACAAGTTATTTCTGGCTTCATGACGTCATTTTTCAAAAATGGGAAGTGAATACTGATTAAGTTCGGAGTGGATAATTGTTCGTTGTGAAGTAAAATAACGTATGAAAATATGGAAAATATAACTGTAGGTATTCATGACACCTAACTTCCGGTTTGATGACGTCACAGTATTTGGAAGCAAAAGGTGAACATTGTAAGGCACATCGTTAATTTGGGCTACAAAGATATACGACATGAATCAAATGATAGAATTACATTTAAAATATTATCGTTTTCAAATGCTCATAGAAGTAACTTCTGGTCTGATGACATCATAAATTTGAAACCTTGCCAAATTTTCTGTGGTTAATCAAAGAATATCAAGGGGCGGTTTTGTGAAATTTTAACAGATGGTTTTCAAATTAAAGAAAGCAAACACTATTTAATATGCCGATAGGGGGCGCCCTTTCGAAAGATGACATCATCACACTGTTTTGTGTCTGGAATTCCTCAATAAACACTTTCAAAATATATATGTGTGTAGTAAAATGCTTCCCCTTTTGAGTTATACTCAGATTTTTTTGCACTTCCGGTAACACCGGAAGTGAAGGTCAAGCGGTTTGGTGTCTGGAGCATGGGCATCGCGAGGGGGGGGGGGGCAAGGGGGGGCACTTGCCCCCCCCCCCTGGAAAAGCAAAAAAAAAAAAAAAAAAAAAAAAACGGAAGAAAAAAAAAAAAAAAAACTAGAGTTTCGCGTTTGTTGAGTTACAAACGCAGAGTGGTCGGGCGGACAGCCTTTTCATTATACACTGCCCAGTTAAGTTAGGAATATATGTTTATGTAGAAAAAAGGATCACGAAATTCAATCCCTTCAAGTAAAATCAATGTTTCAAAAAAGGTATCTTTAACGGTGTGATAAATTTCAGTAAACATTCTAAGTGCACAAAAAGTTATTTCTGGTTTGATGACGTCCATCAGTCAAAAATGGTTAGTGAATACTGATACAGTTCGGAGAGGATAATTTTTCATTGCAAAGTTAAAATAACGTATGAAAATATGGGAAATATAATTGTTTGTATTAATAACAGCTAACTTCCGCTTTGATGACGTATTGATAACACCTAACTTCCGGTTTGATGACATCACAGCATTAGAGATCCAAAGGTGAACATTGTAATGGATATCATTATTTTGACTTCGAAGGTATGACAGGGATCAAGTGATAGAATTAAATTAAAACTATGATCTTTTTCAAATTCTCCTTAAAGTAACTTCCGGTCTGATGACGTCATCAATTTGAAACCTTGCCAAGTTATCTGTGGTTAATCAGAGAATGTCAAGGGGCAATTTGGTAAAATTTGGACGGTTGGTTTTACAATTAAAGAAGAGACAGGGGTTGCCCGTAACTTTTTTTTTGACTGGCCAGCCGGACCAGTTGGCTAGAATTTTGACTGGTCCGCCAGATTTTTGACTGGTCCGTCTTATACAGCGTGTACCCACCAGTTAATCAGTTTCACATAAGTCATGACTAGACTATAGTCAACACCCATGTCACCTGAGCAATAGAGGTCTATTTTCTTCCTCCATGATCTCAGGCCGCAAATTTTTTTAAAGTTCCGCCTCAGATTACATGCCTTTTAAAAATAGGGTTGGTCGGTCGGATTTTTGGGGGTTTTTTTGGCCAATTTTTTTTATGCAGCTTGAAAGGGGTATTCAATTAGGCCTGAGTAGGCGAAGTTTTAGCCCGATTTATTTTTATTGTACTACCAACAAGGGCGGATCCAGAACACATTTTTTTGGGGGGCCAAAAAAATTGTGGTCCTCAAAAAAAGTGGGTCCAAAAAATTACGGCGTGGGGTTCGGGGCCCGCTTAAGGGCCCCGAAAACATTTTGGATTCTAGATGCTCTGTGGTGCGATCTGAGGCAATTTCTGACCACTTTAAACCAATGTTTTTTGAGGAAAAGATGGTGGTGTACTCATTGCCTGCCTTTATTGCGATGTCACATAAAATTTAAAAAAAAAATTGGTTTCGGGGTTTTTTGGGGGGGGGGGGCCATGGCCCCCTTTGGCCCCCCCCCCCTTGATCCGCCCTTGATACGAAAGCTATACACAAAATGATGGCCACACAAAGTGAATAAAACCTACCTTAATTAGGCCAAAAAAAATAGTTCTGCTTCCGATTACATGCCTTTCAAAAATAGGGTCGGTCGGTCGGAAATTCTTCTTTTTTTTGCCAATTTTTTTTATGCAGATTGAATGGGGTATTCAATTATTTATATGCGAAGTATTAGCCTGAACTATTTTCATTGCACTACGAAAGCTATACACGAAATGGCGACAAAAATGTGAATAAAACCTACCTTTAATTATTGTCAATATATTTACGTTCGATAATTCCAAAAAATGGTAATCCTTACTTTTAGGACACCTCTATTTTGTACGAGTTCTGTTCAAAACTGACTTTTGCAGATGACTGTCCAGTACCAAAGTGACTTTTGCAGGCTAAAGAAGTCTTTTTTCTTCAGACAAACTCATGTTAGTTATAATTTTGAAAGCACTTTCAAAGAAAAAGTGACTTTCCTACCTTTTTTTGCAGTTCGCCATCTTGCTTTTTAAATCTATTTTCTGTTTGTCATCCCCCCTCATAAATCAAAACCCTGCCCTCTTTCTACAAAATCAAACCTGCTGATTCAAGAGGTGTCATTGCCAACTGTTCAAATGTGCCAAGAAATACCAGAATGTCACTTTTGAGTGTCATTTAGTCAGCTGTTTTGGTGAGTCTTTTAACCTTATATAGGAAAGGGGTCCTAAAAGTAAGGATTTCTAAAAAAAAATATGGAAAATTCAGGTCGTTCGCACCATATCCACAACGCTAGTCAAGACGTGGGGAGCTGGCCAAAACTCCGAGGTGTGTGATGCGTGCGTGTGTGGCGAGCGGCCCACCATGGGCCGACAGACCCGTTTTCACCGTCAAAAATTTCGGGAAACACACGGCATGTATCACTCCAAATACAAGTAGCGCGTTCTCAAAATGAACTCTTGAACACAGAAAATACATACACAGACAAGCTAGATCAATTCTGTATAAAATTAACTTGCAAAAATGTTCTTTCTCCATCGGTGTTTTCTTTGCATTTTTACGATGTCGAATCCGACCAGTTGACAGAGCACGTGCATGGCGCCTGCACGATGCATAGCCTAGCCATGCTCGCATAGCCGTGCACAGACTAGTTACCGCATTTTCATCATTATATCTTGTAAATTGGCGCGGCGGGAACCAGTCATTGCCGCATTGGGCTGGATTACGCACATGATTATAGTCACCGTGACATCGAATTGCGAAGTCGTCATATCGCGAAGCGAATTTGTAAAAATAACGGAGGTTTATTTTGAAAAAAATAGCGAATGTAAGTAAGAAACCAAATAAATACAACAAGCATTTTTTTGACGCACATTTTTTTCAGCTGGCCAGCCGGACCACTTGGCAAGGTGTTTCAGCTGGTCCGCCGGCAATTCAACTGGCATTTGGCCAGCGGACCACCGCTAAGGTCGAACCCTGAGAGAGACTCTATTTAAAGTGCCGATAGGGGGCGCCCTTTCGGATGATGATGTCATCACACTGTTTTTTGCGTCTTGCATTCCTCACTAAACACTTTCATAATATATATGTCTGTAGAAAAATGCTTCCACTTTTGAGTTATATTCAGTTTTTATTGCACTTCCGGTAACACCGGAAGTAAAGGTCAAGCGGTTTTGCGTCCGGGAACACGAAATGTTTCTCACGACATACACGAAACAACCTCACGAAAAAACGAACACGATACTCTATTTAGTTCAAAAGATATAACGCAAACTATTTTGTCAAAATTTGCCCTTAAATCGGTTGTAATTTGATACCTGATGACGTCATGCTGACGTAACAAAATTTATAACATCTTCGTAACGTGGTACAAGTTCACACAAGGTTTTGTGATCATACCGTGAAACGTTCGGAAGAAATGCTGTTTTTGTTTTGATGTCAGGCTAACGTCTTCATTTTGAATTCACCTAACTTTGACCTTCCGGTAGACCCGGAAGTAAAGGTCAAGTGAGTTTACGTACACGACAAAAACTGTTAAGCGATTAATGGTCTATCTGATTACAGAATACAAACATCATTGATTGTTTAGTTCAAGAGTTATAGGTGAAAGTAATTGGTCACTTTTTCAGATAAAATCACTTGTAATTTGACACCTGATGACGTAATCATGACGTCAGAGTAATATGCACCACTTCGGATGAGGGTCGATATATAATGAAAGTTATAAGTTCATACCATATACCGTTTAAGAGAAAACCCGCGGAAACGTGCCGTACGGAAAAAAGAAAGAAAGAAAGAAAGAAAGATTAATCGGAACAATTCTAGACAGTGGTCGGGTTGTGCCCGACCACTCAATTAATCGTAACAGATCCAAAGAGTGGTCGGGTTGTGCCCGACCACTCAAAAAAAGAGGCGCGAAGACAAAGTGGTGTAAATTTAATGAGTTGGGGGGGGGGCAAAATGTCCCTGCCCCGCTCTAAAACTGATAAATCGAGAATGTGTTGAGAAATACAAGCATTTTTTGGCAAAAAAAAGTTTTGCCCCCCTTTAAAAAAAATCCTGGCAACGCCCATGGTCTGGGGACAAGAATTGTTTCTCACAGCATAGTCTACAACCTCAGAAAAAAACAAAACACGATACTATATTTAGTTCAAAAGATATAGCGCAAACTATTTCGTCAAAATTTGCCCTTAAATCACTTGTACTTTGATACCCGATGACGTCATGATGACGTAACAAAATATATAGTATCTTCGTAATGTGGTACAAATTCACACTAGGTTTTATGATCATACCGTAAACTGTATGGAAGAAATTTTGGTTTGTTTTGATTTCAGGCTAAAGTCTCCATTTTGAATTCACCTAACTTTAACCTTCCGGTTGACCCGGAAGAAGGGGTCAAGTGAGTTCACGTACACAAAAAGAAATGTTCATCAATTCATGGTCTATCTTATTACAGAATATAAACATCACTGATTATGTTGTTCAAGAGTTATGGGTGAAGGTAATTTGACCCTTTTCCAGCTAAAATCGCTTGTAATTTGACACCCGATGACGTCATCATGACGTCAGAGTAATATGCACCACTTCGGATGAGGGTCGATATATATTGAAAGTTACAAGTTCATACCGTATACCGTTTAGGAGAAAACCTGCGGAGAAGTATTGTCCGGAAAAAAGAAAGAAAGAAAGATTTATTGTAACAGATCCAAAGAGTGGTCGGGTTGTGCCCGACCACTCAAAGAAGATTAATCGTAACAACTCCAATCAGTGGTCGGGTTGTGCCCGACCCCTCAATCAACTGTTACAGATTTGATTTTGTTTTTTATGGCAATCAATACAATATATCAGGGTCTTCATTTTTGGTATCAAGTGCAAAATCACGTGACCCTTCCTTCCGGTCAAAACCGGATGTGCCTTATAGTTTGAAATTGGTAAAAGATGTGAACTTGCTTTCAACGATGTGAGTGTCTGCCTAGGCTTTACTTTATAAAAATATTACAGGTGACGTCATAATATGTTAGAGCGCCCTCTAGCAGCATGTTGACTAAGTCAAACATGCATTTTGAGTTGATGTGTGTGGCAAAGTTTGCAGTAATCAATGGCCCCACACCATATGGTTGTTCCTACAACCTCTAGTTCTGTTTGTAGAGGTTATTTTTTTGTCACAGCGATAATGCACCTCACGATGACACTTTATTCCAACCACTTCTTCAACCATTCTCTTAATTCCTTGATCAAAATCTCGCAGTGATGAGTGATGGGTCTCCTCGCAGCAAAATTGACACCGATAGGGTTGGCTCATGGATCGTCACTGCACTGTACTTGCACAAAACATAGGCCTAGCAGTACATGTCACGCAATATGCAAACACAAGGTGCACAAACCATTGAACATTATTTTTCATTATCTGGTCCTCAAGTACTTCACTGCACACACTGCATTGATTTCTATCGTGACCGCTTTGCATATCAGACTTGTCACCAGTTCATCCATTATAGTAAACAGGGCCTACATTTTGCCAGAATCCCCAAAAATCTCAGTAAAAACAATCCAAAATAATCTGGGGAAATCTCATCCCTGATAACTATACCTATTTGTGTAAAATAATGGTATGCCTGGTCTTGAAATTACAGTCCCTTAATATAGATTTTCTACAAGGGAAAATATTGTACGATTGTATTACTTACGTAACTGACAAGGGTGCTCCAAAAACCAAATGTCCAACATACGCCTTAGTGCGATTCATCAAGCCTTCATGTTTAGTGCTGCAAAACTTTAATAGAAAAGGAAAAAAATTAAGATTATAATCATTACAAACCGAGTCTGACTAAATGGTGATATTGCAACAAGCTTGCAAGAGGCTTTTGGCAAGCCTGCATGCAAGCTATTTTGTTTCATAATAGGGTTTGACAATGTTAGTTTGTAATGAGTGATGCTGTCCAAGTGGCACATTAACTAAATGGGCAATTCCACGGTTTCTTACGTTACGTTTTTGATGTACTTTTGAGTTTCCTTGGGTTGTAATTACCTTACTGAAAAAGGTTTAATAACTATTATCCTCATGGTAGATAGAGTGCACCTAGACCTATCTAAGCACTAGAGATGACATCTAGAAAAATGTGTTATGTACCAGTATGATACACGAGACACAATATTGGTTACTTACATCACATTTTAGGACAAGCATAAAAAGCCAACTGGCGTTAATCAAAAAGTGTCGTCATACAAACAACCTTTTGAAATTTCTTTTAAATGGATGAAAAACCATGCCATGGGGCACACACAATAAGAGTAAAACAAATCTTCCAGAATCTTTCAAGTTTTTGGAACCCACACAAAACATGGTTACTCACGTTACGGTTACTCACGTTAAATTTTGTCCAACCCATCTCAGAATTATATGCCATAATGTTTTTTTTGGTTACTATTAAAGGTGTAGTCCATCATTTGTAATTTGTTGCATTTTGTAAAAAAGGGTGCTGAACAACTACCCTGATAAATTTTGAGCTCAGCTTTAACTGTATATTTTGAGAAAAACAACATTCTAGAATCTCAATTTTATATCAAAAGTTGCTGAATCGTGTATTGAAATGGGCCTGAATTCAGCGTCCGAGACATGTTCTCACTGAGCTGATGTCGCGCACTGATCCGACGAATTATAGCAACCATGCGCGCGTGTGTGTCGTGCCAATGCTTGCGAGCTCTTTGACTAATAACAAAACTAACTACTAATTTGAATTTCCTACGGTGCTTCTTAAGAAGCACCGTTGGAAAGGCCTTCTTTTGTTGATTTCTTCAAAATCACTGTCTTTCAACCAAGTATGTTTCTTAACAATAATTAGGCCAGTTACTTTTTGGATAGCTGCAAATGAGGGACTCTGGCTTGAATGTATCGTGCTTGGTCTGTTTTCACGCTAAAAAAGTGCTCGCACACTTAGTCCCTGGGATAAGGCCATTTAATCGCAAAATTGTATGATTAATCTTAATATTATTTTCTGTTGTAGGGTACCTTGGGACTTATTTTTTGAGAAACAGCTAAAATCATATTTTAGGCCACTGCTCTCTCAAAAATGGTCCCATCATGACCTGTTGCAACTTTGTACCATCCTGATGGGATGGATAAAAAAGAAAAAATATGGTAGAAACCAAGTATAACTGCATTCGTGTACCCAGGGGGTATATTGCTTTGCCTACACCCCCCAAATCCTGTGACTTTGCCTTAATTGGGGACAGAAATGAGTTTGAAACTCCTACTAATTCTTACGATACGTACTTACTTTGTAATTAAAAAACTGCCTGAGACCACAAGCTCTAATTTGAGTGGTAGATAAGCTTTCTGTCTTGAAAATTGGGCTCGCCATGGCCATTTTTGCTTACCCTACCCCTAAATCACTCAAATCGGCTGAACAGTGGGTGGCATAGCAAACCTATTGTGCCATTTTGAGAAAACATTGCCAAATGTGGTACAGAGATAGATTAATATCATATCAACAAATGTGGATATTAGAGCATCGCTGATTTGGCCCTTGACGGCCAAGGGAGCTGTAAAAAGTGCTGAGTCATACTGAGTCAGTACTATTCTGTAATTCATTTTTTGTGCAGTATGGAGGCCAACATACTTGGGTGCAAAACAGGCTTAAACAATGGATTTTCTTTCAATATCTCATTAAAAACAATTAATAATGCCTGTCAGCTGATGTCAGGCCTGGCTTTGCCCGCAAGAACTGTACTGTTTTTTTGTTTTTTGTTTTTTGATTTTTACAGATGTACATGTACACAAAGTAAATTTTGTTGGGAATTCAAGTTCTGACTCGCCAAAAATGATGTCCTGGCAATGTTTAAGACCTTCCACTATCATAGCAGGAAAGGGTCTGGCAAAAACCTTGCCCCAACAATAAAAATCAACTGATTTTAGTTGCAAAAAATGCAATGTTCGGCGAAAAAAAATAAAGATTTCTAGGTTATCTTCATAAACTTTAACCCAAGTATCCGTATACAGACATGCATGCAAAAGGCAGCAATGGCGATTTCTTGTTATTCAGTGGGTGTCGAGGAACAAGCTGGTTAACAACTGGAGGGGGTGGAGGGGGGGGGGGCCTAGACTATCAACGATATCTATGCACGTTCCTAATATACATGCGCATTTGCTGTCTATTATGTGCAAAAGGGTGGAAATATGTTTTCGGAACACCATTAAGGGAAAATACCAGCATATTAACTACATGTAGGCTCAATGTACATTTGATAAAAAAAAATATATATATATATATATAGGCCTATACGCAATGGGATAATTTATTTGTTTTTCTTGGGGGGGGGGCCCCAGGGGCCAAAACATTTTCCCCCATGATCCTCCCTCCCCATGCCCCACAAGACCACCTTCCCGACCATTGAAAAATGTATTTGTTTTTACATGTGTTTCATTAATTACATCTTGTTAGTGCAGCCCGGCATGTTGGTCATACAGGTCCAACTTAAAGTCTGAAAGCAACAGAAATATTTTGAAATTGCTTCCACACAACAAAATAAGCAAATATAACCAATGAATTATACACACATACATGACATTTCTGGTAGTTTTGAGAATAATGATGACAAAAGTGGCTTAGTAGGGGTTGGCCCCCTTAAAGGGAAAATACAACATTTGCAAACATCACAAAATAAAACTACCAAATCATTTTGAAATACCTTGCTGGACTGTTAGTGAATGACAGTGTAAAGCATCCTGTAAAATCATGGCACCTGGTATACTGTCATTTTCAAGAAAAGTGGTATTTTTGTATCAATTTCCAACGCTGATCGGCCGATCAGCGTTGGAAACAACTGGCTTTTTTTTCAAATACTGGCCCCAATTGTCCATCGCACTTGTTTGCAATCGATTACAAACCTATGAACGGGTACGAGCCAGCTAGACTGGTTCCCTGACCTTACAATTCCCCAATGTATGTGAACTGCTCTGTTTCTTCTTATATGGAGTCAGGGAACCAGACTACAGGAAAATGATCGTTTTTCTTGGTTTTTATAGCATTTTCGAACCCAAAACCTCAAAAAAGTCAGTGTAACTATATTTGCTATATATTTCCAACCCCCCAATTCCATCCATTTCTGAAAATTACAGCAAAAGCAAATGATGTATATTCCCTTTAAACTGACCTCCCCCATCGGCAGATGAAGGGGAAAACGGGGGCCATGCCCAACTTTTTTTTTAGTAACATCACAAAAAAGGCAGTCATTGCGTACACCACTCACAAAACTCAACAAAAAAACAATAATATTTGCCCCTCTCCCCAGAAATGTTTCGACCCACTTTTTCTTCAAAAATTGTATTTTGGATCCGGCCTTGACCTCCCCCTCCAAGAAAATGAGGTATAAATGGGGAAAAGTCAACAAAAGAATAAAAATCTGCGGTATCCAAACAATATCCCCAGGTAGTGGGCAAACAGGAAGCATGTGCATAATAATATAACATCGGCAGTGTCAATTAGTATTGCAAAATTTCTAATTATGGCAACAGAAAATGTAAAATGTAAAATAATAATATAATTTATTCAGTCCAATTTATGTATTTCCCACCCTATTTGAATGTTTGCTGATACATTTTTCACAAAATCCTTGCGTTTATATCACCCTTTTTGCAACTTTTCCAAGTTTGTAATCTTTTTCACAGTTCGTAATCTTTTTTTTTTTCATAATGTTAACAGTTGAACCTGTTTAACATTGCAACATTGCTGGGCTAAAAAGTTGGGTTTTTTTTTTTCCCATGGGTGGCGATCTGATAATTTTTGGGCAGGGGGTATTGCCTGCCCCCCCCCCCCCCCCCAGTGAGTGCGTATATTTCTTTCAGCAGATGTCCCTCAATGTATACTTTATTTTTCCAATATGGTGTTACCGCAACATTGCTTACTGGTATGTACCACCTTTAACGCCTGAAAATGCACATAATAGACACAATGCACATTTTTATAAGGAATGTACTGATATATTACAAAATGTGGCCCCAACTGTTAACTTGCTTGTCCCTTTGATGTCAATTAGAAATCAACATTTGCCTGCATGCCTGTCTTCAGATACTTATAAGGTTAAAGTTTACAAAAGTGACATAGTAATCTTTTTTTTCAGGGAATCAGACAACATAATGGCATTTAAAAAGTGCTGACTCAGCACTTTTTGTGGCTAAATTCAAATAAATGTATATGGGTAGGGTTTTTGTCAGAGTCTTTTCTGTTGCGTCAGTGGAAGGTATCAGATATTGCAAGGACATCATTTTTGGCGGGTCAAAACTTGAATTCCCGAATAACTTTACCTTGAGTGCGTTGGATTACTTCCCCCGCGCTTACTCGTGCAAGCGCTACAGCATTCGATTTACCTCTCATGTGACTTCTCGCACTTTCTCGAGCCTGGCCCAAGTAACCGACTCACTGAGCCGTTAACTCACGCCATTGGATTTGTAATCAATGTAGTATCCATGACACTATAACAGTGACTCGATCGATGTGGTAGTTTTAAACATTACACTATTGCATATATAGGGCCGTCCAGCATAATTCTATATAGTAACGAGCATGTGGTATGAGGTATATGAGCATGTGGTATATTCCAGAGCTACGGCTACATAGACAGTTGATTCTCTGCAGCCTGTGACATGTCAAAGTTCAACTTTCCAGCTCTTGCACGAAACTTTTCCTGAAACTGTTCGTTTATTTAGCTCCACTGCACATGGGTGGCTTGTGCGTAAAGTGCTCGCCTCTCACCAGGGTGACCAGAGTCCGAATC